TTTATCTTTTAAATAATCATCGACTTTATAGTAGCCCTTTTTCATTAAGGTACTTTTAATAGAAATGTACACATGATGTGCTGTCGCTGCACCACCAGATAGTAACAAAGCGGTATAGTAATCCAGCCAGTTAACATATTGTCGCTAATTAATACCTCGTGTTGGCGGATAACATGAGACATGTCCCGCGTTGCAAATGGCTGCCTTGCTATACCTGATCGATTCGGAATAGTGGTGATTATTAATTACTATTGTAAATTAGTAGTAAGACTAAAGTCACAACAATTATTTTTAGACTTTGAACCGCCATTGGTGTTTGATTCATTGGGAGAACGGCTTAAGCCAAGGAATCATGTTTATCTTGCTAAAAATATGTATAGTGCCTATAAGCTATCACAATTCATGAGTCCATCCTTCAAGACTTCAATTCCATATCCAAGCCAGTAAAATTTAAAAAACTAGTTTTATTTTTGTTTTTATGGACTAACAATAAGAAGGTTGTATATTCTAACAGATTATGGAGACAGTCACATACGGCCGAATACTGAAACGCCATTTAAATATTTGACGGCTTCTCAAATAGTTAAGCAGCTCCTAAACTTACATTTCGCATACCTACTCAAAACAATATCTGAGCAGTTCTCAATTTTTAAGCACCTCTCAAATTAAGTTGCACTCAAACGCCACTCAAATGAATTTTCGCATACTGAAACGCCATTCAACGCTAAGCATTACTCAAACAAAACTGTCAAATCGTCTTAAGCAGCTGTTAAATTTGAGAGTGCTTGCGCGGTATCTTAAATCCTATTCTTATACCTAAATCGACCTAAATAGTGGTAAATAATGTGTGTCATCGTTATCATTTCTTTCGAGCCTCGAGGAAATACCTAGATCTAATCGCAGGAACGCAATAAGGCTGAACCTGAGGGCTGAACGCTATTGAACAATATTATTATAATGACATGCAATTCCGAGCGAGGTTCCGCGTCTCTAAAGAAACGGTGTTGTTTCTGGATTCATAATTTGGAAGCTCTTTGAAACCCCTCACCAAACGCCATACAACCAGTGGACCAAATACTTATTATAACCCTACTGTTCTACGCAACGGGAAGTTATGAACGTGTACTAGGTGATATCTTCCACATCTAACAGCCAACTGTGCATCGTATAGTGCACGAAGTAACAACCAAAATAGCTGCTATGAAATCGCTTTACATAAACATGCCTATTTCTGAGGATTAAGGGGACATCGCATAGCAGCATTTCCAAGAGTTGTTGATTTGTCAATTTGATGCTCTGTCTGTCAACAATGATAAATGTCAATTGTGGTTACGTTTCGGTCCACGATCGCCACTTAATAGATTTCAACAATAAAAAGTATCACCTATAAAATTATTTTTTTAATTAAATAAAAATGCAAGCATTAATTTTTTTATATGATAAAACGAGATTTATGTATAATAGAAACTAAAAATAAACTGTTGTATGTTAAGTTGATTGAGTAATATTTCCATAAAAGACAATACATAACCAAACGATGCTGCGTGTAATGGATAAAAAACGTAAAGTTATCATTTGTGTAAATGAAAACATACTTTTTTTGGTAAATGTTGCCATTACGTAAACATTTGAGAGCTGCTTAGCTGATCACGGCTTCAAATCCGTTGAGTGGCGTTTGAGAATACCATTTAAAATTGAAGGACACTTAAATTTAGGAGCCCGTCAGCTGAGTGACAGATTTGAGTAGTGTTTCAGTATTCGGCCGATAGTTACTTAAGTATAGGATGAGGCTATGTTAGTAATGAAAATAAATACAATAAAAAATTTTCAAAACCCTATTTTCTTGTCATCTATAAAAAGCCGATGTTTCCTCGTATTTTCCGCTACCTTTTACCTATATCAACTGATTCAGGCTATGAAGGCCGTGACATTGAAGGCATAAAAACTGAAGTATTACGAAAAACCCACGACCAGCCTTCAATTCAGCTGACCTATCAAAAATTCTTCGTAATGATCCAGGAAAGTCCGTCCGGTTTTTGTTAATTACGCCTTCTCATAATGAGCTCCCGACTCAATCATGAAAATGACTTGGATTTTACGATATTCAAAAAAGCGTGTTTTTCCATTGTCTTCTGTAATTTATCAAAAGCAGATGGAGAATCATTCTTCCCATTAAAGAAATAAAATATCGTGAATTCAATAAAAATCTAGTTACGTAAGCATAACGACTAAAAATAAGACATTGCATTAAGCAATAAGTAGTCTAAAAATGAAATAAGATCATTTACTTATACCTACAAGGAGTCTATGTCCAGAGATGGCGAAAAAACATTCAGATTTAAATTATTTCAGTAAAAGTAGCTGACCCGGCGAACTTCATACGGTCATAATAATTACATGGAAAAATAATTTTAAAACTACTCTTCCATATGTTTAAGAAGAAGAAGAAGAAAAAATGTTTATTCAGTATCATCGTTTCAGCGTTTTCCTTGCCTAGGCTACGATTTAACATTTCAAAACCAAATTCAGCTAAATCAGCTCAGCCACTCTCGAGTTTTACCGAGACAAACGAATGGCTATTCATATTTATAAACGAACTAAAGATTACATTTCAGCGTTCTTTTATTAATAACACGATTTTACAATTATTATTACTTACTAGCTTTCCGCCCGCGGCTTCGCCCGCGTGTAATTTTGTCTGTCACAGAAAAACATTATCGCGCGCGTATTTGCTCACCGTTTAGACCTACCCTGGACTACGACAAACATTTTAAAACCAAAATCAGCTCAATCGGCCCAGCCGTTCTCGAGTTTTAATCAGACTAATGAACATCAATTCATTTTTATCTATATAGATAGAAGATATAGATTAACCAAATTAGAATTTATTTTTCGTCTGTTTTTCATCTATTTTTCTAAATGAATTTACACTCAAATTAATTTGACTAAATAACACTATATCACGAAAACATGATTTCCCCATACAATACGGCTCACAGCGAACAATACGAGTGGCCGTTTCGGCCTGTTTCGGCCTGTCATCCTGACATCACTATTTGACCGTATAAGGAAATACGAGGTCGGAAGACAAGTAGCTAATAATTTCCTCAATTAATTAGTTTTTCCCGTTCTTATAGCTTCATTTGTGAACAGACGGTATTTGGAACAGTTTTATATCAAGTTAATTTAATAAATTGATTAGTTAAGTTTACTACTTATTTATTTACAATTTATTTATGTAGGAACCTTTTTTCATTTTTTCTCTCTATCTATTTATCTGTCTATAAATACGCTAATTATGAAAACTTAGGATATATTTAATATATTATATTGATCTTACAGTAAATACCCAATTAAAGTTTTTATTATTTAATGCACTTATTTTTTAAACTCTGCATAATGAAAGATAACTTTACTTCAGGAGTAAATAAACATGTAAATAAACGTGAAAATAACTCATACCGAAGTCTAGTTTAAATAAGATACCTAACTATGTAAACATAAACTATTTTACATAGAATCGCAGACAGAATACATTTCTCCATTTTATTAGTCTCTACCAACGTTCTAGAGTTACTTGAAGAATTAATAATATACAATTTATTATACGTTTCATTAAAACCCTATTACGAATTCCGCACACGAAATCTATCGATCTACAAGAGCACGAAAAAGGTTTTCGATCGTGTTTTCGATTGCGGTTATTATTCATTCGCATTTTTTATGTTTTGTGATTTGTCGGTCTAAGTTTGAATGGATTTCGATGAAATGTGGTTCTTCGAGTAACATTAATATCAACTTTATATCACGGAAAACAAATTAATTAAGCTCTAGTACCTACTCAATGTACTTAGACAAAATTTTGTCTTCATATGAGTAAAATCTTAAAAGCTCATCATCATCATCATCTCAGCCATAAGACGTCCACTGCTGAACATAGGCCTCCCCCAATGCTTTCCATGTTGCCCGGTTGGTACTACTCCATATCACGGGAAAACAGATACATGAAAAACAGGGTCTCATGTACCTATTGGCCTAGGTGTAAAATATATTTTCTCAGGCTTTACAAAATGACACTGGCTTAATCTTATAAAAGTAATCAACAAGAAACATAAGGTCTCATTGAAATCACAAGAAACCTCTCAGTCTCATTGAAACCACAATTTCAAGGATTAACTCTAGGTCTCTTCATTATTTGTATCGTGACTGAAGGTCCTGTTGTACGAGATCTAATCTGACCTATCATACTAATTACCCATCATACAAAAATTCGTCAAAAAAGTTTTTGAGTTTAGGTAACTAATTTAATATTGTTTTCGCATTTATACATAAGATACTCCTGAATTTCTTACTTGTCATACATTTCTGCACATTTGATATTTTGTGATTGATTTTTATTATGACATCAAACCCGATTAGATTTCAGAACCCCCCAAAACTTTTCATTAATATCCATTAAGGCGTAATAATTAAGTTACGAGTAAGTTATGCGAACGTTCAACAACGGCCCGGAGGTTCACAATAAACGTCAGAAACACTTAAAACTGAGTATTTTACGTCCCCAAGACCGTTTTTCCCCGCTAAAAATCTCGATAAGCCCAGCACTTTCGTTGGGATTTCTTTTAAAATACTCCCCCACAATGTTACCCTGATTAATTTCCGGGGAGTTAAAATCTCTGCGCGCCAATTTCCTATAGGCAAAAATTCGCTCCTTTGAACATAATGTTTTAAGCCTTTAAGACGCTGTATGTGTAGTGTAATAACACTTCAGTGACGTAATAATTGCTAAAGATCGGAACGACAAAAATTAGGCCAAGTTTCGGCCAACAAAAATAATAAGAGCTACGCAATTAATGTTGCTTCCAACGAATCTCATTATGCGTAACTTCATCAAGAAGTTTCCTGACTAACGAAGTTAGCAAAATTTTATTTTTGTAAGTACAGAAAGATTAGATGTTACTGAAGACTGTACAAGACCCAAAATTGGGGTCTAAACTTACCTGTCCATGGTTGATGAAGCCATGCTTATGGGCAATCTCGTCGGCGGACCCTGGCCCGCCGGGGACGTGAACGGCGAACTGATGATGGTAGAACGGTACACAATAGTCCAACACTGTCAGAAAAAACACGCCGAGGGCGAGCATTCCGCTCTTCGCGCATTGCACGTCCCTAGCTCGCTAATGCTCCAACATCCATGTCCACCAATGGGGTAACTCTACTGGCACTCGCGGTAATCTGATTTTAATAGCGATCGTGTTGTGTTTCGCGGTTGGAGCGACGTCGGGCCCGTGTGACGTACTCGCGAGAACTGACTCCTCGTGGCCGCCAGTTCAGCAAGAGATGCCCACGCATGCGCCCAACTTGGCGCCCTTTCTTCATATATCTATTGTGTGCATGCCATCAATTGACTTGTATACTTAATTGGATCGAGGATCGAATGATGTTCCGGTGCCTATTGTTGTTTGTAATGCTATTTTTTATCGGCATATGCATTAAAGTAAAACCTTTTTGATGTTCCGCGCCGGCCGATACAAAATCCGATGGGAGCGAGCCCCTGATATTTTATAGCCGGGTTTTGGATGACGCGGCGTCGGAAATTCGGGGATAAAAGTATTCGGTTGGATATTATCCATCATTTTGTAAAACTCACAAATAACTCTTGAAATAGTATAGCCTAGTCAAATTATTGAACAAAAAAACCACGAAAGTTTCTGTTTGTTAAGACTGCTTCAGAGTGTGTGCCCTAAAACTTAAGCTTCAACTTTTCATGTCCACGACGTGGTGCGGTAACTAAGGTACCACCCTCAACTTACACCATCTTACCCAACTCTTTTTCACATCCATTAAAGTATGTTTTACCGCCTAAGAATAGTACCGTCTACGTCCTAGGCCAGGTGCAATTCGTGCGGGTGCAATTCGTGCGGGTGCAATTCGTGCGGGTGCTATTTAAGCGGGTGCTCTAAGTGGACCACGTCTAGTCTACAAATCTGCCATCGTGACGGTTCTTGAATTCATTCACTTCCAAGGGCTTCACGATTAACTAGGTACCTACTCGTATCTTCCTGAAATACCTTCTCGTTCCATTATGAAATATCCCATTTTCATTATTATTCTACATCATTAAAACTATTTTATAACAGTTTTACATTACTTTAACCCTTTTCCTACGGGCACTTGGAAACCAAAGTGCGCCTCCCGCAACTCAATACAAGTCAATATACGCTGTCAAAATTTTTGCTTCACTTTGCATCAAGACATTTTGTGTCACAAAAATGTGCATGTAATTATGAAACTACATAATATACAATTATATTCTGCAACTAATGTAGTTTCATAATTACCTACATGCTCATTTTCCACTTTATTTGCAATTTTTTTTGCCAAAACAACGATAGATACCACACGCATTTTGAGAAGTGACTTTTGACTTGGCATCAATTGGTGCTTAACGTGGGAAAAGGTTAAAAGGTCTGAAAGTGTGAGGATTTAGTTAAGTATAAAATGTAGATTAAAACCAATATAAATACAGCAACTCAAGCTGCAAACCTCACACGTAGCATAAAGCCAACAAAAAGTCCTTATAAGCTTGGAAACTGGAGCAAAAAAGAAGCATACTTAAAAACTACATTTATGCGAGACCACACAACCGCAACAGCTTCAAAGAAAAATTCCACGTAACAAAACAGCACTATTCAAGCAAAGTTGTAAGTAAAAGTATAAGAGTGTCATGAATATTCAGGAATAAGGTAGTGCTGTGTACGCAACATCATGTTTGTTCGCAACAACCGCAACCGCGACTTGGCAACTTACTCCCTAAGACAAACACTGGGGCACAGTATGAGGAGAACAGGCAGCTAATTATAGTATGTAAGGCTATTCCCACCTCTCCATGGGCGTACCCATCTTCTTGACTAGGGGGGGTCAAGTCATACCCAGCTACTTGCCTAGGGGGTCAAGTCATACCCAGCTTCTGGCCTGGGAGGGGAGCAAGTCAGACTTTATGGGTCAGATTGTTTGACTTAGCTCCTTCAAAGTGACTCTGCGAGATTTCCAGGGGGCCACACCTTTAATTTTCACCGTTGTGCTCCTGTGTAACCAGGATTTTACAGTTTTACTGCCTGAAAAACTTCTGACCCTGTTTTCACACGCCTACACCATTTGCAATAAAATGTACTGCACGCGCTGGCAGGGCGTAAAGTAAGACTTTTGGAAGCATATCGTTGCTTTAAAAAGCCTAACTAAACTTTAATCCCACGATGTGATACGAGTACGTGATGAATCTCATTTTATGCAAGCCTTGGTCGTGGTGACACAATAATAAATGACTTTCATGCCGGGTATGGGTGATGTGGATAATTAGTAGCGGGTTCTCTCTTTGGAAAGCACATTGAAAGTGGGTTCTGTCTATTCATTTTAACTTATTAAGGTAAATATTAATTAAAGAGGGAAGGTTCGAAATGATACAATTAGATTACAACAAGTTTCCTCGCTCTCCTTTGCTATAATTCCAATAATTAATAAATCTTTATCGAATAATTTAACATTCATACAGCTGCAAATAAAATTCTAAGAAGAAATTCTAAGAAGATATCGTAATTTTGAAACTAATAACGCCGAATAATGTTTAAAATATTTTTGTATTTGGTATTTGTACAAAATGAGCTGGCTGTTACATTCGACCTGTGACCCAGATGCCAATAAAATGCGTACAGTACATAAGGCTCATATAACTTCGTACGTTCTAAAGTTATGTATTAGTCTATCTTATTGTTTCTCAAACGCTTACAACTAGCTCTGTTGGTTGAAGAGTAGGTAAGTCCTAGTTCTTATAAAAAAGCTTTTAGAATATAAAAGATGTTAGATTTTGGATATGCAAAATACTAGTACTATTACACTAATTTTAATATTCCTAACTTAAGGGTGGATTCGACAAAACAAGAGTAAATATTAATCTCAGAATAAATCGTCAGTTATTCGACATTTTGACATATTTCCCATACTGCAACTGTCAATGTGCCAGTTATACCAGGAGTTATTTTTGGATAAAAGTTTGGTCGAATCGGGCCTAAATGTTTGTTTATGAAAAACTATATTTACTCTAAAATAATAGAGAAAAGCCATACCTATGGTAAGGTCTTTTATTAAATTGAATCTAGCCTACGTTTAATAGAATAACGTAATTGTACTCGTAGTTTTAAGATCTAGAAACACAGAACAGTCGCTGTGATTCAAACTATTAAGTACTGATTAAATCTAGTCAGTAAAAAGTTCGTCTACATTTTGCTACCTTTAAAAGATCTCAACCAAAATTACACTTTAGAACCGTTTCGTTTTGCGACGGTTTTAACATGAGAATTAAATAAATATACTATATTCCAGCGACCGTACTCCCAACTTTTTTACTACTTCAAAATTAGACAAATAAAAGTGCGTCTTCTTAAATTCGTTCTGACAGTTATACTCCGGATCGTTACCCGGTTTTGTGATATAAATCGGAGGAACAATAAATCTTCGTTTTCATAAATGGGTTCCATTTGAGTGAGACTTAAAAATGGCAGACATTCTTCTTGTCTTGTCCTTAATCAATATCACATTTAAGACATTTTGGTCGGTAACAATTTCTTCTTGTTTAGTGCGGGTTGTACTTGTGGCAAGAGGTCAGAACTCTGGTCCCTATGAGACTTTATAAACCTGGTGGTAAGAGTTGACAACTCAACCTTATTCCAATTGTAACAAAGACGTGTTACGAGCGTTTTGGCTACTTGGCGTATCACGAACTATTGACGCTGTCTGTAAAACAACTGATCTAGCGTAGGCCGTAGCGTAAGAGTGTAAGCCAAATCCTCCATTTGACTCTGGTAAATTGGAAGGGGTCCATGCTCCTGCAGTATAGACTAAATGACTTGATGATGATGATGCTGAAACACACTAAAATAAGTAGGAAAAATACCGAAGACCATCTGAAATGGTGGTTCACGTACCTTTAAAGGTATCAGAAATGCGCTGGATGCAGGCCGTTACCAACCGATCACTATGGAAATAATTGGGGGAGGCCTATGTTCAGCAGTGGACATCCTATATGATGATGATAAACACAAGCAGACATTCCCAAACTTTATATTAATTACGCATGAATAAATGAGTAAGAAATACATCCCAAATCTACCAGCCGTGCTTAACATTCTCATTTCCATTCCGAATATACTTCATTGCGCTCGCCCATAAAACTATTGAGTACAGAAGCCAAGGTAAATTAACTTATTCCGAGTAGCCGTAGATATACTTAGTTGTTTCAACTTCATAGCGTGCACTTAAAGTTGGGAGTTTCAAACAAATAAGGCATTGGAGTTCGCGGTTCACTCAGGATTGAATAAAGCCTGTTTTCCACCTAAGCGGAGCGGTGAGACGAGAGATGTGCGGCAAGGCAGGCTATTTCCACCAAAGCGGAGCGGAGAAGAGCGGAGCGGCGCCGAGGCGAAAGATGTGTGAGCTGTGCGTAGCTGTCAGCTGTCAGTCTAAGGCAGGGTACTCACCTGCCATGTAGCACGTAACGTAGCATGTAACGTAACCAACCTTCAAGTGAGTACGGCTCGTCCACGGTCACCGCGTATCTGGCTGCGAGCTCCTGGATCCTACTGCGAGCCGCTGTAGCGTTGCAATTTTGGCTGTTNTGTTTTATTAAAAATTTTTAATTTCACACAAGGAACGGTACTTATATAAATTTCTGCAAGCCGGACAACCTCTTTTCCACGTGCAGACAATTCACCATCGTCTCCGTCTGCACCGGTGGCGGTTCAATTCCAGTCACCAAGCCGCCAGGAAAAAATCCTTTCTTGCACCGCCTTTGTGCTGGCAGTGATACCGCCACTCGGCGGGTCGTTGCGATCTCCCTTCGAACCACGCGCGAGCAGCTCGCAACGGGCTCGTGCCTATGTACTCACTTGATACAGTATCTGATACATTACATGCTACACGGCTAGATGAGTACCCTGCTTATTGCTAGCTATGAAACACCGCACCACTCCGCACATCTCCGCATCGCGCCGCTGTCAAATTCTATAGAAAAACAAGTGCGCCCGACACTTCTTCGCTATTCTCTGCTCGATCTATTTCCACCAAAGCGAGGCAGAGGGGAGATGTGCAAATAAGGGAATCTGATTGGTTATTAGAGATGTGCATTGTGTAAATAAGGAAATCTGATTGGTTATTCAGAAAACTTCTCTGCTCCGCTCCGCACCGCTCCGTCTTGGTGGAAACCCGGCCTCAGAATTGAATAAGGC